CCACCGTGGTGCAGCTGGCGGGGGGCCAGGTGCCCCAGGACAGGTAGGCGCCTCGGTCCCTCCGTGGGCTGTGTGATACTTCCGTACCTTTGGGCCCCGTCTCGCTAGATTGCTGATTTGCGCAGGTTGGGCTTGAGCTAGAGATCCTCCTGCCTCAGCCTCCTAGGGAGCCTGGGTGACGGGTGTGCACCCGTACAGCCCCCTTCATAGTGAAATCTCTTAAGAGATGTCAAATTTTCCACGGGCACTGCAATGAGCCTCATACGATGGTGTGTGCTCTAAACATACGACACCCAGATCGATCTCCAATCCTGCGTGTATCACATGTTCACGTGTGCGATCGGTCAGCATTCCCATCCACTTCTCTGCGGGACAGTGGAAAGCTTCGTGTGCCTGTTGGTCACCTCTCCTGTTTCCTCTTAGCAGCGCAGCTCGACTCTTGGAAAGCTTTCGTAAGCAGCCGTTCGTGGTTTTAACGTTATCTGTGGCATCTCGTGTTTTACGAGTGACACTTGCTTCTGCATGGATGTAGCGAATGTGATTCACAGAGAAGGTGGAGGAGATTCAGCCCTGCACCCTGGGTTGGAGCGATAGACAGACGGACAGACGACAGAAAGTCAGACAGTCAGAGAGAGAGATGGTCAGATAGGTAGATGACGGATAGATGGCGTGGGCAGAGGATTGGTGGATGAGGGTGGAGGTACGAAACTGCACTGAGGTCCGCACACATATCTCTGTGTACACGGAGACATCTACATCAGCAGGACGTACTTGTGGGTGTAGACGGGCGGTCATCCTGCCGTCTGTACCTGACTCTTTTTTTTTGTACTGGGGATCAAAGTCAAGAACTCACACTTGCCCCTAGCAAGTGCCCCTGAGCTAAATCCCCAGCCTCCTGTCACCTGCGTACAGAGACGTACACTTCCTGTCGCGTGTGACTCTACAGAGACACCTGAATCACTTCACACGGAAAGTATGTCACACAGAGAGAGAGAGAGAGAGAGAGAGAGAGATGCATCCCTTTTCTTCCTTTTTTAAAATGCTCTGTTGTCACAGTAACACAGAACCCAAACCTCCCTGGGCTCCGGAGTTCTCTGTGGCGCCTGAGAACCTTTCCCCAACCGGCAAGGAAGATTCCCGCCTCGCTGCCCTTCGGGACCATACTGTTTGTCCCGCGGCTTTGCGCCCAGAGGAGTACTACTGTGCCGTGAAAAGGGAGAGGCTTGACTTACGTGTAGGAGACAGATGCACCTCGAGCCTGCGCTGTGAAGGGAAGCAAACCGGACACGGGCTTCGGCATCACACGGTTTCCCTTCCAGGAAAAACCCAAACTATAACCGAAGAGCAAAATAAAGTCAGGCGGTGGGAAGCAGGGCGACAGAGCTTTTGCAAGGCGGACGCAGACCGGGAGACGAGGGACAGAGCAGAGGGGATGGGGAGGTAAAAGGAGGGAAACCGGCTGCTCATCTCAGCCCTGCAGGAGGCTGAGGCAGGAAGGTCCTGAGCCCAAGGCCCTGTTCTGAGTCTAACGGGACGGGCAGCTGGCCAGGGCTCACACTCGCCTCCCCCCCCCCGGGTGCCACACC